CAGATCTACGAGACTCAGAGCAGCCTGTTCCTCTAGCCTCAGAGTGAAGTTCCTCCCATTCCTTTTTCTTGGACCATAACAGAGAAATCCTGACTTGTGGTCCTTGCAAATGGTTTTCTTCAAAGCCAGTGTCTGTATTTTCTGACCCTGTTTGTCCTAGGTACTAGGAAGCACTGTGATTGGTTACTAGCTTCAGAAAGGCATAGGATGGGACGTGGTGCATCATTATATGAAAAATTGGCACTTAGACGTATTATAGTACTCTGGCTATACCTGATGTTGTTCCAGCTATGCTCCTGCTTAGCCATGATCTAAGATCTAACACCCTGCCAGTATCAGCAAATACAACCCTACTTCAATAAGTAATGATCACCTGTGGTGCTTGTGTCCCTTCAAGTCATATATATTTTATTAGCCCACCAATGCAATTGGCTCATTTTAATTTTGGCCTGGCCTGCAGACCCCATAGACCCATCAAGCCAATCACAACCATGGACAGTGACCTACCAGATCTTTGTTAAATGTCACTGTTTCTGCAGTTGTAGACAGGTATGAGAAACAGGAGATTTATTGAGTCTGCGGTGGACCACGTTGCAGGGATGGTGGGCAGCACTTAAATTAGTTGGTTCTTCCCGACATGTGGAACTACCTGTTGCCGATTAGAACCAGAAAGTTTTCAGAAGGCTGAGGAAATGGGAAATCTAATAAAAACCCAAGTGTTTGCACTATAAGAGAGTCTGCAAATTTGATCCTTCCTGTACTGGACTGGTGTTTCCAAACTATGGATGCATATCAGACATCTTCTGTGTTGCAAGCCTTCAGCTTCAAGAGCTTCATCTGACAGCACACCACTATCGTCGCTAAGCAATACACTCTAAACATACACACTATGACTGTGTATGTTAAACCCAGGCATAGATGAGATAGAGAGGTTGCAGATCCTCTTTATCTCTTTGAGAGCCGAGTTGTGACATAGGTCACAGGGAAAAATGCATTAGTAAGAAGGATGTGGAACTGTGGTCTAAAGAAACCTGGGACTTTGGGGAAACTTATCATGATCCCCTCCCCCCTAAATCAGTCATGGTGGACAAATGTCTGTAAAATGTAATGTGTTCACTGCTGCCAACCCCACCCCCAGGGGCCTACTCCAAAGAGTGTTGGGTTGTTTGCCAGAGGACCCCAAAATACTTGGACTGCTCTTCTGCATTCCCCCCTTCCTTTTCTCTTTTCCCCCTAACCCATGTTGTCCTCTATCATATACACTCCAGTGTTGTGGTGGTGGTGGTGGTTAACTATTACTACTTCAATGTATTTATTTTAATACACCTCTATTAACTTTCTAATTTGTGTGTGTATTTCCTTATGCAAACGTAAGTTAAAATCAGCATTTCCAAGTGTGATCAGGAGGAAGTTGATGTTCAAGAGAGGAAATAAGTTTGACAAGCAAACTGGCATGGAAAGAGGTCATTTGAAGTTGCAAAGTATGAAAAACCACAGGCAAGGGTTGGTCTTGAGGCAGCTGCCTCAGATGACAAATCCTGGGTGGTAGGGAGCTGTGCCAAAGTGTTGGTGGAGAGAGCTGAGTGCCATATATGGCCTGCTCTAAGTTACCCTTTCACCCCCAGATGTTGTGGAAGACTCTGCCTGTCGCCAGTCTTGAGGTAAGCTCCAAACGCCAGACCAACTGCCTTCTGTACCTGGATTTGGAAGGAGGCAGCAAAGCGTGTGGGGCTTGTCCTGCTACCCACTTACACGATCACATCTTTGATGCTAGTGAAGATGATCTGGACCACAGCAACCTCCCAAGGTCTCAGATTTCAAATGTCAAGATTTCAGGTTAAAGTTCCCATTTAGGAAAGATCTGACCCATCTGGAAGATTTGTATCTGCGCCGTTCTGTTCTTTATACTCTTGCAGCTCTGGGCAATGTAGGATGGCTTCTGTGTAGCCTCGTAGTCCTGCGCGAAGCACTTGTACTTGCTGGGGGCTCAAGGCTCTGATCTCACAGGCCCTTGCAGTTTGGACAAAGGAGGCTTCCGTAGGGATGGCAGCCCCTGCCAGTTCACCAGATGTCGATATACCACCTGCTCCTGCTTCTTTGTCGGGTTCTCCAGCAGTCCTGCAGCAAGGCAAAGACCACCAGGATGCAAGAGTCAGCAGCTTGCAGTGTGTTGCCTGCCAGCAGTGAGCAAAGGTTTGTTGGATGGCAGTGGAGGAGAAGTAGAAGATGACAGGGTCCAAAGTGCTGTTGAAAGAGCTGAGGAGGAAGCCATACACCCTCCATTCAGGGCTCCAGAACTGAATGTAGCCCACGAGGTGAGAGATGTTAAAGGGCCCAAAGCAAACAGCAAAATTGAGCAGAGTGGCCACTGCCAGGCCCACGGCCCGTTTCTTCCTCTGGGCTTTGATGTGGGGCAAGGAGGTCAGGATGCGAATGACCCTAATGTAGCAGAAAAGGGTGATGATGAAAGGGAAGAAGAAGAGGAGAATGCAGAGTTGCAGTCGGACAGGGAGGAGGATTTTAAGCTGGCCATTGGAGAATGACTCATAACACGTGGAATTGTGAGACATGGGTTGGGCCTCGGGGTGGTATTGGACAGTGTAGACGATGCTGCAGTGGAAACAAGCCAGAAACCAGAAGAAGAGACTGGCCACTATTACATAGGTCGGTCTACGTTCCGACTTGAACTTGATGGGGTAGGCGATGCACAGGTAGCGCTCTATGCTGACCCCTGTAAGGAAGAGGGTGCTGCTGTAAATGCTGCTGTAGAAACAGAAGTTGGTGAGGGGGCAAAGGAAGGCAGGGAGAGGCCAGGGGACATCTGAAGAGGCCTCTGCCATCTTGAAGGGCAAAATCAGCAGAAGGATAAGATCAGAGATGGTCAAGTTGAGCAAGAAGACATCCATGGGGGTTGCCTTCTGGCGCACTTTCCTCAAGAAGGCGTAGCCAGCCAGCAGGTTGGAAGGGAGGCCAGTCAGGAAGGTGACGATGTAGATGGCAAGGATAAGAGGCTTTGTGGCCATTCTGCTGTAAAAGGAAGGATATTAAAATATCAGGAAGCCTGATTCCTATCCCTCAAGGAAATCACCAGGGGGCAGAATATGATTGCAGCCTCTCTTGGTGTCACTCAGAGGCTGAGGTCATTTCTTCCAGCATGTTCTGAGTCAGAATAATTTCTATAGCATCAGTCCTTAGACATAGCAGCACAGCGAGAAAGAGCAAAATATAAACTAGAAAACAAAATGTAGATGAAGTTGCATGAAAACATCACTATTTACCATTTGAAATTTATCCTTAGTAAAATTAGGATTAATAAAATTAAAACATATGCACCTCAAAACACCGTTATGTACACCATTTAGAAATGCTAATGATTGAGCAGTATATGAATACCTCAAATAAACATAAAGTAAACAACAATAATCATTGTGAAACTTTTCATTTCTCCCTCTCGCATCTCTTCTCTAGTTAGGAGAATTAGCGTGCTTTAAATGTATGAGATAGATGCGACCTCTTTCTGCACCCTGTCCTTCCAGAGACATGGAGATGGCAATATATCTCTAACTTGGGTTGGTACCAACTGTAAAATTCGACTTGTATCCAGAGTTCTAGGAAGCCATCTGATCTGTTTTGGAGCACCATGATATCTTTTAGTCCTGCCTCCTCCCCATTCACTATACAGTTGTCCCTTAGCTTCCGAACTCCTTGGGATTCGAATGTTCCGACTCCCAAACAATCAAAAATCGTGTTTCGGTGAGTGTTCCGGTTTCTGAATGTTCTTTCGGAAGCTGAACATCCTTCAAATTGGCTGCAGGAAGTTTTAAATCCTTCTCCAAAATAATTGTGTTTGGAGGGTGCCATTCTTAGTCCTGAGGTAGTGCCAAACACGGAAACCTGAGAGGATGAATCAGAAGACAAAGACCTAGAGGAGCAGGCAGAGACGCCTGAATCCAGTATCAAGGATCCCCTTGCGAAGCCCTCTAGGCTGACACTTGATGAAGAACTGGAACCTTCAAAGAAGGAGTGAAGGCACCACCATCAATTTACTGCAAGAGTACCCAATGTGGTGCTCTACAGAGCCTGCTGGACTGCTATATACCCATCAATCCCAGCCAACATGGCCAATGATCTGAACAAGATAAGATGAGGCTGCTAAATCAAGCCAGTGGGCCAGCATTATATTCTCACAGTGGCCAAGAGATGATGGGATTTGTAATTCAATGACATCCATCCATGGTACCTCGGGTTAAGAACGTAATTTGTTCTGGAGGTCCGTTCTTAACCTGAAACTGTTCTTAACCTGAGGTACCACTTTAGCTAATGGGGCCTCCCACTGCTGCTTCGCCGCCAGCCCGTGATTACTGTTCTCATCCTGAGGTAAAGTTCTTAACCCGAGGTACGATTTCTGGGTTAGTGGAGTTTGTAACCTGAAGTGTCTCTAACCTGAAGCGTCCGTAACCCGAGGTACCACTGTATTTTGTGAATAATTTAAAAAGAGATATACCCAATTCTGATTGCGTTAAATAAAGGAAGGAAACACTTACACCTGCGTTGCCACTCAGGAACCCCTGTCTGTTCGCCAAGATGATGCTCTGCTCTTTCCAGAGATAATCCAGTGAACAGTCTGAAGCCTGTATTGCAAAACCAAAGAGACTAGATTTTTACATTCACTGAAGCATCTGTCCAGGGGAAGAAAGTCTGCGGTATTTTGGAGGATATGGAGAATAAACCTACTCCGTAAAGTTGATAAAGAAAAAAACCCTCACTAGCAAGCAATTTCCGGCTAGATTGTGGCCAGAGAGTTTGTTTTGAGCTCTGTGGTTTGTTTTAGCTTGATTAATGTTTCTTATTTTGGGTGGTGCGATTTGCTCATCAGTGCTAACTGCTGTATATGGGTAATGGCCATATTTGACTCTCATTCTTTTTTGCAGACTCCAAAGTTTTTACTGTATTAATTGCAGCGTATTTTGAGTCTTTAGGAGTTTGCAGTTCTGAAATCAATATAATATGAGGCCCTGAGGAGTACAATATGTCCAAGAGGATTTTCCATCATCATAATGACTGCTCTGGATTACCCCAAGGATGAGCAAAGCACATGAACCCTGGTTAAAAGAGGTAAGGGTTCACTCCACCAGCCGCGCTTTGGAAGTCGAATGTTTCAGAAGTCGAATGGAATTCTGGAACAGGTCCTGTTTGACTTCCGAAATACAACTGCAATGGGAGATCTAAAAACAGCTATAACATTTATTTTCAAAGAAGTGAGTGGAATTTGTAGGCATGGCAGTCCTCCAGAGTGGTTCAAGCCTTTACCATGCTGGAGTAATTAAAATAGGAATTATGAAGGGCTGGGGGGTGGTGTTTGTGTGGGGAATGGATTCCCAAGAAAGATTGGAGTGAAATAAATGCTCCCCCCCGCCAGCAGTGTTCCTATTTCCCCAAGGTCATTGGTGGTGGGTGGGATCAAGCTTTTCCCATAGATATTTTTTTTGGGGGGGGGGGTTGGAAATACAATGGGTAGCTCTCCATTGACTTGCATAGGGAAAGGCACAAACCCATGTGGAAATCAAACACAGTTTTTAATCCTTCTCCAAAATAATTGTGTTTGGAGGGTTCCATTCCCAGCACTGAGGTGGTGCCTGTTGGGATACTGCCAGGGAGACAAAGTCCATCATGACTCCACGCCGTCTCCGGACGTCCATCGATCTCCCGTAGACACGCAGTATCAGCAATTAGCGACACGAGCTCCAGAAATAGCTTGCCACATTCCAGAGCTGATGCACGCTCTATCAGCAGATAATGCACAGCGAAAGATGCACTCAGGAGAGCATTATTTACAAGTTTATTCAGCGTTGATCAGAACAAAGAAAACATGACTGCCTGCTTCAGTGTCTCAGGCACAGAGAGAGAAACGAAAGCATAGACACAACAGAAACTTCCTGTGAACAGGAAATACGCAGACTCTGTGACTCACAAAGCCTGCTCCCTTTTAAGGTGGAACGGAAATATCCTAATATCGCCAAACACAGAAACCTGAGAGGATGAATCAAAAGACAAGGACCTTGAGGAGCAGGCAGAGCCCCCTGAATCCAATATCAAGGATCTCCTTGAGGGGCCCTCTAGGCTGACACCTGATGAAGAACTGGAACCTTCAGAGAATATGCACCAATATGCACCAATGGGCTCAGAGTTGTCTGTCTACTTGTGACACTACTAAGGAATAACCTGTCCTTGATATTCCTTCACTGCCAGCAGCTGTGATCATTGTGTGGTGGCTGGAAACAACACATTTCTCTGGCTCCTTGTCAACTCACCTCTTTTGGTGAATCCCATGTGACATTAACCTTGGACTGTGTCTTGACTTTACTTCCAGATAATTTTTGGGACCTAGCCTGATTCTGTGTGATTGGTCTTGGCTAGTTGAGACTAAACTGCACTTAGAATCCTGATTACTGAGACCTTAGTCCCTGAGGGTGACCACACTGGAGACCAAACAGTGCCTTGAGAAAGACCGCTCACCTTTTCAGGTGGGTGGCATTGCAGCCAGGCATCTGGGCCCTGCAGTGTCTTTTTTCAATGATTTAGCTCTATAATTCAGCACCACCTCTCTGACAGTTCTACATTTTGCTGCAGCTAAATTGAAATAAATCACTGCCTTCGATATGGAGGATTCCAAATTCAAATGCATGCTGTTTCAGTCCTTCTTAAATGTTTTGGGTTCAGGGACTTTTGCTAGTGAAATTATACCACTCTTATTTTGAATCCAGAGTTGGTTACAGCATATGTATTAAAAGAGCTGCATGATATAATCATAAAAATGCAAATAAAGCAATTCATAACAAAATTAGATTTTTAAAAATCCATAAAATAACACAATCTTTAAAAATAATAGCACACCAGCTCTTAACAAATCACTAAATAACTATAACTAAAGCAGCTGCATTCCATCTATTTGCCTCGTTGGGTCTCTCTTCCTACAAAAACTCCCACCCAAAATTGGTAAATCTTAACCAAACATAGCCTAAATTATAAAGAGATAATGCAGGGCATAACTCAGTAGGGACACAGGTTTTCTTATTTGCATGCAGGTCTACTTCTACAGTCAAATTTCAAATGTCAATGCTTTGCAAAATGCCCTTGTAGCTCTATCTTGGAACCTGTTCAGGGGGGAAAAAATCTTCCCTATGACATCTGAGCAAATACATCTCATCCATGAGGAATATCAATTAATTCCTGTTCTATTAATGAACCAAACTATGTCTCTCTGTCTTTCTTTCTTTTACTATATGTCTTTTTTTAAAAAAGCAATATAAATCCCAGTAACAGTTTCAAATCTTACTTGTGTTCTTGTTGAGAAAAATACCACTTTGTTGAGAAAGAACCACAGCCTTCTGCAGTGACTTCTCCAGTGGCTGGTCTGTGCTCCCACCTGTGTATGCAAGTGGATGGACATGCATGTAACCCCCATCTGGAAGCCTAAAACCTGCCTGGTACAGTTTTATGTGGTGTTTGGGAGCGGGCGTGGTGGAAGCAGATGTATTGGGCAACTGAGTTAACCAGTAGAAAAAGGAACCAGATTGTCTTTACAATGGAACCAATTTACGTAGAAATCACTTGGCAGAGTGGGAGGAACTGTATTTTGACCACAGTGGAAAAGTTCTTCATTTTTTTTAAAGTGCCACCGGGCTCCATCTCCTTCTGAACTCAATAGGTCTTTCATACAGACCCTCCTGGATCTTAAGATTGTCAGACGTTTTGGCTATTTATGTTGCCCTTAGAAATTTAGAGTGGTGGTGGCAACCAGAGAGAGAAGATTCTTCGTAGCAGCCCCTAAGCTGTGGAATTCCCTCTCCAAAGAGGTGCACCCAACACCTTCATTATGTCATTTTCACTGGATGTAGAAGACGGTGGTAGAGCACCTGATTTGCTTTGTTCAATCTCTGGCATCTCCAGGTAGGGTTAGGGAAAGATCCTACCCAAAACCCTGGAGAGTCTCTGCCAGTCAAGGTAGACAGTACTGAGCTACATGGACCAAAGATCTAACTCAATCCATCTCTCTATGCCCATGCCAGGTGCTAGAGTTGTCTAGTTCAGGACCCACCCTATTATAATGATTTGTTTTGTCTTGATTTTTAATTTGTTTTAACCAGTACCAATCTTTTATTCCTTGGTCAGACCACACCTCAAGTACTGTGTCCAGTTCTGGACAATTTAAGAAGGATATTGACAAGCTGGAACATGTGCGGAGGAGGGCAACCAAGATGATTTGGAAGCCAAGCCTTATGAGAAATGGTTGAAGGTGCTGGGTATGTTTAGCTTGGAAAATAGGAGACTGAGAAGAGATATCATAGCCATCTTCAAATAGTATATCAAGGGCTGTTACATGGTAGATGGAGCAAGCTTGCTTTCTCCTGTTCTGATGGCTAGGACCTGAACCAATGGCTTCAAGTTACAAGATAGGAGATTTTGATCAAACATAAGGAGGAACTTTCTGACAGTAAAAGCAGTTTGACATTGGAATGGTCTCTCTCAGGAGGTTGTGAACTCTCCTTCCTTGGAGGTTTTTAAGCAGAGGTTGGATGGCCATCTGTCATGGACACTTTAGTTGAGATTCCTGCATTGCAGGGGGTTGGACTGGATGACGCTTTAGGCTTCTCATAGGCATCTGGTTGGTTGGTTGGTTGGTCACTGTGGGAGATAGACCAGGGATAGCCAATGGGGTGTCCACTAGATGCTGCTGGACTCCAACTCCCATCAGCCTCAGTCAATATGGCCAATAATCAAGAATGATGGGAGTTGTAGTCAGGTGACATGCAGATGGCACCACATTGGCTATCCCTTCCTTGGTGATGTTGGAATCAAAGCAATGTCTACACTGACTGGAAAGACACATTCCAGGGTTTCAGACAGGGGTCTTTCCCAGTCACTTGTGAAGAAACCAGGGATTGAATTTTGCACCTTCTGCATTGACAGCTTGTGTTGTCCCCCTAAGCTGAGGGACTTCTCTGTGTCTGGGGCTACAGAGGATGAACCAAGAAGCTGAAATGTGTTCTGAGTTACTTAACATAGCAGATTAAAAGCAGGGGATCTTTTGAGCACACTTGATAATTCGCAGTCTCGAGCTGCAACAAGATGTTTTATATTTCTCATTGCCATTTTTGGTAATTATGCAGTATCTCTCTCATTCCCCTTTCTTGCACTGATGACTAGTTAAGGGGCATGTGATTTATGACTTCAGTTCCACAAAGTCAGGTGCCTGATGTAACAGAAGAAGACCTTATGCCCTGGACATTGTCACCTGCTCTGCTCCTGAATCTGCTTTATTTTTTTGAGAGAGATCTGTGTGTTCTTCTGGGAAGAGACTGCTCTTATTCAAGCACAAGGCAGCCAGAACAACCAGCGACAATGGAGAGGCATTGCTTCTCTTCTAGACAGCAAGGATCTTCATAGACAGAGCTAAATGACTGTTATAAGACCTGCAACTTTAAAACCGTTGACTTGACATTGCTTCTACCTACTCACTCCCATTCTCTCCCTGTCCACGTTATGTATCATGTCTAGGGAAGGGTGGATTGGAAACACACAAAATGTGGATTCCAAAGCAGACTTGCCTGTTTTGATCCTGGCAGATAATGACTTGGATCAGCTCAGGAGCCCACTTTAGAATTTACAATCTAGTGGATTCCTTTACAAAGTGGCCTGAACACCTCTGTTTTGCCATTGCCCTCATTTCATTCCACCCTCCTTTTTTTAAAAAATAAAATAAAGGTCCAGCCTCCAAGACTCTTTCAGGCTGCACTGACTAGCATGTGTGGGCTTCTTTTTGCCATCACACACTTTTCATAGAATCAAGGAGCTAGTCCCCATGGAGAAGCAGGACTTGATGAATCTTTGCTGCTGTCTAAGTGAATTGTGTGGCTGCTCTGATATAAATACTAGGGATAACCATGCTGTTTCCTTGAAATTGTATTTTTCCATAAAATTTAATATCATGTGGACTCCCTCACCCCAACTTTACATTCTGCATGGAAATAGGAACTGATGGACTATCTAGGGATGGTGTAAAAATTCAATTCACATCACATTTAGAGGTGAGTTGACTTAATTCACAAAACAACATGAAAATGCAAACACTGCCAACTTTCAAAATGTGTCTTTGAATTTTGCGGTAATAGTTTGGATTTGATATCCTGCTTTATCACTACCCTAAGGAGTCTCAAAGCAGCTAACAATCTCCTTTCCCTTCCTCCCCTACAGCAAACACTCTGTGAGGTGAGTGGGGCTGAGAGACTTCAGAGAAGTGTGACTAGCCCAAGGTCACCCAGCAGCTGCATGTGGAGGAGCGGGGAATCGAACCCTGTTCATCAGATTACGAGTCCAGCGCTCTTAACCATTACACCACATTAGCTCTTTTGTACAAAAAAAGCATGCACTAGGATAAAATGTGCATAAAATGCGAATATTAGTGAAAGTAACATACAAGAATGCATTCTATTAGAAGAAATTCCTTTGCAAAAATATCTATATTGGGCAAAATGGCATGCAAACACACACACACACATTTTAGTTTTACAAATTAAAATTTACATACAAACTCATGAATATATATTTTTTTAAAAAATAAGCAAACAATGATTAGACTGAATCTCTGGACTTCCTCCCACCCTTCCATGGCTTCCATTGCCAGTCTTTTTCTGCTGCTTATTTTTAGTCAGTTCCATTTTTATATATCCATTGCATCCCTAGTTCTTGTTACATTACAAGTGTTATTCAAATCCTGCTAAAGAGCTCAGCTGTTTAGAGTGGTCTCCAAGGTAAGTTATAATTTCCCCCCATTCTTAATTGAAATTCTGTTCTTCCTGGTTTCTGATTTTCCCAGTCATTTTCACCATCTCCGCATAGTCCATCAGTTTGGTCTGCCATTCCCATCTGGTGGGAACTGTTTCATCCTTCCATCTCTGGGCTGAGAGCATCCTTGCAGCTGGTGTTGCGTACATTAAAAGTCTTTTTTACTCCTTTGCTATTTCTGCACCTATAATTCCTAACAAAAAGGCTTCTGGTTTTTTAAACAAAAGTTATTTTAATCACCCCCCCCAATTTATTATATATCATTTCCCAGAATTCTTTTTATAACCTTACATTTCCTCAAACATGTTATTTTAGGGGAAAAGTCACACTAAAATGGTGATCAATTTCCACGAGGACTTCTTTAAAAAAATGGCAAATGAATGTGGAGAACAGAACTTAAGATTACAAAAAGAAACTGAAACCGACTGACTCATGCATGTCTAGTCTCAACTCCATGTAGAACTGAGATGGGTCAGACTTTGATAGGTCCATCCACAACCTAATCAAGTCTATTTCGATTATGACCCTGACCCCCATACGCACAGCCCAGGCTTATACCCCAAAGTGGTCACTTACACCCTGGAGAGGTGCTGCTAACATAGTGGTTTAACTTTGCCCCTGGAGACACACTCCACTGTCTCTTGAGACAGACAGATGCCAACAACCCTTCATTATGGCCAATGGGCAGAATATACAGTGGTACCTTGGGTTACAGACGCTTCAGGTTACAGACGCTTCAGGTTACAGAACCAGAAATAGTACCTCGGGTTAAGAACTTTGTTTCAGGATGAGCACAGAAATCGCGCAGTGGCGGCACGGTGGCAGCAGGAGGCCCCATTAGCTAAAGTGGTACCTCAGGTTAAGAACAGTTTCAGGTTAAGAATGGACCTCCGGAACGAATTAAGTTCTTAACCTGAGGTACCATTGTATATGCCTCAAAGAAATGTATACAGTGGTGACCAGCCATAGGGGCTGGTAGGCAGAAGGCAGAGGGGCCCACAGAAGGCAGAGCTAGAGCCAGTGATAGGCAGAGCCAACTAATTCTACTTCTGTCCCTGTCCTCCTTACTCATGACTTCTAGAAGCGCAACATTACGACCAAGGAAGAAGCGAACCGCCAGTGTCCCCTGGGGTGAGGGCTCACTGAGGGCACATTTCAGTGGACCATTTTTCTCTGAATCTATGTTACTGCATGCCCCTGTTCCACATTACTGATGACAGATATCACAAAACACAATTCCCAAACTAGAATCTGTAGTTAGATGAGAGGGAACTAGTGATGTGGCTTCCATTTTAGAAGAGAATGTGCCCTTTTAATGAAGTGTAGTTGAAGTCTGTTTGAGTTCACACGCGACATATTTTCTATAAGGGTTGTTGCAGCATTGAGTTTCTGGAAAAGCAGATGCTGGGACTTGTATACATCTGGCAACAACAGTGACTCATCCAGAGTCCTTCTGTCAATTTTTTTTTTGGGGGGGGCGAGTCTCTGGAGTAACTTGGTGATTAAGGAAAATGCAATCCACAGCTGCTCAGAGGAACTGTTGCAGACCATCCACCGCAGTGGCTTGAAGATCTTGCCACTTATAAGGTATGGTTTATAATTGTCAATTTCATTTGGAGACCTGTTTGGACAACTTGCATTAACATACAGTTTAATGCAGGATTGATGGAAAAGTCTTCTTGCCAATGGCAGCTAGGAATGGATTTTTGTTGATATATCACACCTGTGAAATTAGCTAAAATGTATAATACAAGTAATAAATGTTGGAAATGTAAAGAAAAAGAAGTATCATTTTATCATATGTGGTGGGAATGTAAGAAAGTAAAAAACTTCTGGGAAATGATATATAATGAGATGAAAAAGATATTGAAATATACATTTTTAAAAAGACCAGAAGCATTTTTACTTGGTATTATAAGTGAGGACATTAATAGACAGGATATTAAACTGTTTTTATACCCAACAACAGCGGCAAGTGTTGGCCCAGAAATGGAAACAAGAAGAAATACCGATGAAAGAAGAATGGCAGACGAAATTAACGGACTACGCAGAATTGGATAAAATGACAGGAAGCATTCGAAAACCTGCAGGACCAGAGATTCACAGAAGATTGGAAGAAATATACGAATTATTTGAAGAGCAACTGTAATCAACAAATTACGCTAGTAGGACTACAAGAAGTTTTGTAAAGAGGAAGATATGAAATATTGTAAAGAAGAGAAAGAAGAGAGATATTAGTTATGATATTTATGTAATAGTGAAAGTAAGAAATGCAAATTAAGTGAAAAGATTGGAAAATTTTCAGATGTGATTGATGGAAGTCAAAAAAATTGTATAAAATATGAAAGTATGTTTAATAATTGTTTAAAATGATGTGTTAAAACACACACAGACACACACACACACACACACACACACGTATGAATGGATTTTTGTTGCTTCTGTCCTTATAATCACCACCACTATCGTTTATTTTTCCTTTTACCTTTACAGTTGCAAATTTTAAAAATTGGTAGTTGTGGGGAGGCAAGACAAGCACACCTGTAACTCTTTCTTCATGCCTGCCATCAGAGGAGGAAGAGAGCATTTGCTTGTAGGACAAAGGAGAACTTGTAAATAAGGATGTGGCATGGGATGTATTGCCACTGAGATTCATCTGTGTTTGAAGAAAGAAGATCATGAAAACTCAGTTGTCAAAATACTCCCACCCCCGAACTATATTGTTGGAAGGGACTCCAAAGGTTTTCTAGACCAACCAGTTGCTGATGTCAGAAATCCCAACTACAGCATCCCTGATAGGTGGCCTTACAGCCTCTGCTTAATAGCCAGAGTCCACTGCTATTAGCCAGGGGTAGCCCATTGACACCCTGAAAGAGCCAGCTGTTTTCCACTTTACAAAGTTTCCCTGCCTGGTGGCTCAGAGGTGATCCTTATCCATCACTGTTGGTCAGACAACGAGCCAGGGATCACATGGCGAACTGTGCACCTGATGAAAGCCAATTTGGTAAGCACTGCAAAGAAGCAAGAAACTGGAGTTGACTTCCCCTAAATTACTTAACTTCTACTTTTAGGTTAGGCTAAAAGAGGAAATACCTTAAAATAGCCCACATCCTGAAAGCAGACTGGATTTGACTGAGTGGCTCCAATGCATTTTGAGGAAATTGTGTTTTTCCTAGTAACTTGCTGTGTCCTTGTGAAGCCAGGGTTTCTCAGGCTCTGGAACTTGATCTATTCCACTCCCTAGTGATGGGTCACCAACCCCCACAGGTGCCAGTGTATCCTCCAGAACCACCCCCCCCTCAGAAATCCAAGTTGTGAGATGAACCATATCTGGGTGCCCCCACCAAGTGAGGTGTGGTGGGTGGTTTCATCAGAGGCAGATTTAAGGCAGTGCTACCGGTTCCCCCGCACGGGACATAGGAGTCAAGGGTGCACCTTCCTGCCTCCTTCCTTAAGCCTAGTAAGAGCTGTGCTTTGGGAAGGAGGCATGAGGGCTCTGACAGGGTCCTAGAGTCCTTCTCCTCCTCTCCCCCTCGTTTTTCCAGCTTTGGGAAGGAAGAGGAGGGCTCTAGGACCCTGTCAGAGCTCTCATGCCTCCTTACCAAAGACCAGTGCCTCCCTTACCCAGCTTTGGGAAGGTAGTGCAAGGCCTTGGAGAGGGGTATCAAATTTTGTCCTTGCACAGGGTACTCACCATATTACCAGCATCCACCCCTGGTTTAACAATAGTGACTGGTGTTAGGGATAAAAATGGAAAGTCACCAGAGGAGCTGATGGAAGTCAAAAATATTGTATAAGACAAGAAATTATGTTATATGAATGTTGGAAATGATATGTTAAAAAACTAATATATGTTTTGTGTGTGTGTGTGTGTGTGTGTGTGTGTGTATCACAATAGTGGCTGGTGTTATTGCAACTGGTGGGGCATATGGCAGAGAGACCAACAGTAAATGGACCCAGAGCCAATGACAGGCAGAGTCAACTCATTCTAGTTATCTAGAACCAGCTTTTCTCTCCCTTATTCCAATGGGAGAGAAATAAACTATGCACAGAGCTGGTCAGGTCCTCCCAACATTTCTGCAGAAAGGAGTGATGGCTACCAACGTGGATGGCCTTTAAAAAGGATGGGACAAATTAACGGAGAATTTGAGAGCTATCTCAATTAGCTATCAATTAACTACGACTGCGGTGTTCTACCTCCACTGTGAGAGGCACTATGGGAATCAGAGGTGGGCAGAGTGATGTCACGCTCATGTCCATCTTGAAGACTTTCCACATGCATCTGGTCAGCCACACTGAGATAGGATGCTGGACTAGATGGGCTCTTGGCTTGATCCAGTAGGATTGTCTTAATTCTTGTGATGTGCCATGGGAATGGGAAGCTTCTGGCACATCCTTGGCTTCCTTTTTCCTTTATGCAGAAAGGACACATTATTCAGAGTGCTCAGTGGCATTTTGGGTGAGGCTGTACATCCACAATAAAGCTCATGCTTTGTGTGCAGATGATCTGGCATCTGAAGAAATCTCAGGTAGCAGGTCTGGAAAAGACCTTTGATTGGACCTTGGAAGAATGGTTGCCAGTTAAAGTAGGCAACATCGGACTAGGTGGCCCAATAGTAGGACTCTGTATACAGCAGAGAAGGGGAACTCATGGCTCTCCAGATGTTGTTGGACTCCAGGGGCTAATGATTGAATCTGGGATCTTCTGCATGCAAGGCATGTGCTCAGCTGCTGAGCTAGAGCTCCTCTTTCACTTCATTGGAAAAGTAAAAGGGAGCTCTGCACATGCCCAGAGGTAGCAGGGGTTTCCAGTAGGCCTCATTCATCTGTCTTAACCTGATCTCTAACAACATAACATCCAGCTTGGATCAGGCCAAAGACCAATCTAATCCAGCATCCTACTTCCCCACAAAGACCACCCAGATGTCAATGGGAAGTTCATAACTAGGACAGGAGCACAATAGTTTTCTCTCACTGTCATTCTACAGCAACAGGAATTCAGGGGCATTTGCGGCTCTTTGCTCTACTTTCCCATCTTCTCTGAAAACCATCTTTGGTATCTGCACCCGACCCCAATCAATATCACTCAGTTCTTTGTTTGGCCTTCCCAGGATTAAGCGGCACTTTGTAACCAGCTTCCATTAGGGGAAATGAGGAAAGGATGTTTACGGTGCTTGGATCTTACTGGCGAGCACGTTGTTTGGGGAAATTGCATGGAAAGTAGAACTTTGGAGGGCAAGCACTTAGTGGCCATTAAGCCACTGTCAGGAATCCTCAGTTTCAACCACAGAGTGACTAGAAGTGATGTCATGTCCCACTTCCTTCTTTACCCAGCTGTTCTTTATCAAGCAATTGGGAACTTGTGGCCCTCCAACTGTTGCTGAACTGCAGCTCTCAACCACCCCTGGCTATGGGGCATATAGGCATGTGCACTGCTTTAGATATTTGGGGTGATGGGTGCCTTCTCAAACAGGAAGCTGGTCACAATGTGCAGCAATTACAGAAGGAAAAGTGTCAGAAGCAGCACTGGGTAAAAATACAGACTGAGGGGTGGACATTCGATAGCACCAGCTGTGTGACAGGACAGTCACCCCACAACTTCTTTATGGAATCCAGGGGTGGGACTCTGGGAACTGAAGTCCCTTGGAGATGGCCCAAAACCAGTTTAGGACGCAACCATTGTTGGTGGCCTCCACTCTAAGCCAGCCTCTTCTAATCTATGCAGAGCTGGCTAGATTTGTTACAAACAGCAGCAAAGGACAAGTAGAGTGCAAACAGCCTTGGGCATCCGAGAGTCATGTTTGTTCAGGACCCACCCTGTTCTTGTGAGTGTAATATTTAAACAGTTTTTAATTCCAAATTTTTAAAAATGGCTGTAACCCACCTTGGGACCAGCTGGTGATGGATGGTTAGTACATTGCGTGGCGAGTTCCCGCCTCCCACCAGTAGGAATAAAGACACATGACACCATTATTTTAGGTTAATGGGCTAAAATTGGCCACAACTTTATTGGTTACAGGTGGTGAACATTATTGGATTAGGCATTGGTCCTATCCAACTATCCGGCTTCAGCCTGTTTGCTTGAAGATCGGGAAGGATTAACACCAGCAGGGGGAGCCCTGCTGATGCACATCAACTAGGGACTCTCCCAGGGTGACCGCTCGGGGGCGTGCTTTAAGCCCTGACCTCCATAGGCTTCGGACGAGGCCACGCCCCCTGGAATCTTTTACCAGACTACCCTTCAATATCCGGGGGAGGTGATGGTGCTCCCCCCCTACATAACAATACCCATACCAATGCCTAACTGCCAAAACCGAGAAAGTTGTGATGATTTGCTATGAGGTAGGTGAAAAACCAAATGGCTGGTGCCAATTTGCGAAGGGGAAAAAATTCCTACCAGGCCCCTTAACGGCGACCAACCGAGGTCCATAGCAAGGTCAGAAGGGGAACCTTGAAGGGTGGGTGGGTGGGAAACCACAGCAGCTAAGTGGCCAAAGAGGGAGATCCCCGGCCACGCTTGCCTTAAATGAGGCAAGCCACATCCCCTGGGCGAGCCGATTAGTTGGCCAGGGGATGACGCGGCCAAGGATTCCCCAGGTCGCACTGGGGCTGGGAGCCAGCCTCCACGTGTGTGTTGGGGGCGTGAAGCCAGCAAAACCACCTCCTCCCGAGGTCGGAAGTGGCTTTTCATACTAATAATAATAATAGAAATAATTGAAAATATTCTCACACAAACACTGACAATTCATTCATACAAAACACTCACATACATAACAACCCCCCTGGAGATATCGAAGGATGAACATGGGAACTTCAGCCCGCAAATCGCTTGCTCTTCCACAGAACTAGGAACCTACTCCCACCGAATACCTGAGATGTTAAGTAGTTGCAAGCACAGGGAAGACCGCTTTGCTAAAATGTGTATCTTACATGTAGCGAATGCATATGAAAAGAAATTCACACTAAAATGTTGCTGGATTTTCTTGAGAATTGTTCTTATTTAATTGCAAACTGATGCAGAAATATGGAGAACTGAATGTATGATTGAAAAAAATGAGAGAAAACAAAATTGCCAGTCAGGCAACTTTAGTTGCAGCTTCCTTGTTGCTTCACCAACATCGGATCTTAAGGTGGTTGCATTGACACAATCCCTCGATTGTATTTCTCTAATGCCAAGTAAGACAAGTTCTACGCCTTCCAGGAATTAATTGCAAAAACCAAGGCAGGCACTAAATGCAGAAGTTTCACTTCCACGTTTGGACAAAAGCCCGGATTATTATTAGCCCGAGTGTTGCAACATTGAAGCGTCCCAGTTCAAGGAGGTGGACAGAGCTTAGTGACAGCTGGCAGGGGTCCAGTAAGTATTATGGAGGAAGACTTTCTGGCTATGTTTCAACAACTGGAATGAAAATTTGTCCTCCTCTTCATGTGATTATTGTGATGGCTTCATTTCCCATCCTCTCACTCCAGTGAAATTAATTCATGCTACAGTCATCATTTCCTCCACTGATTTCTTGAAGCTCCCTGATTCATCTCATGAGAGACAGCTGATCTACTTCCCTGCTATATTTAATCATACTTTACTCCTCTAAAAGTGGCACCTTTTTCTCATTCCCACACCGTTTCACTCCAGGTAATGACAGGTTGCAACTGGACGAGTTTATCAGATATCTGCTACAGGGTGTGTCAAGGCTGAGCATTTGGCAGGGTATCCAGAAAGCCTGCTTGGAGATGGGTGAATCTGTCAATTTTGGTTTATTGCATTTTGCCAGTTGAGTTCTCTGCATTTCTGAAGCAATTTGTATGTTCTTGTTTTCATAGAATCATAGAATCATAGAATCATAGAATCATAGAGTTGGAAGAGACCACAAGGTCTATCGAGTCCAACCCCCTGCCAAGCAGGAAACACCATCAGAGCACTCCTGACATATGGTTGTCAAGCCTCTGCTTAAAGACCTCCAAAGAAGGAGACTCCACCACACTCCTTGGCAGCAAATTCCACTGTCGAACAGCTCTTACTGTCAGGAAGTTCTTCCTAATGTTTAGGTGGAATCTTCTTTCTTGTAGTTTGGATCCATTGCTCCGTGTCCGCTTCTCTGGAGCAGCAGAAAACAACCTTTCTCCCTCCTCTATGTGACATCCTTTGATATATTTGAACATGGCTATCATATCACCCCTTAACCTCCTCTTCTCCAGGCTAAACATGCCCAGCTCCCTTAGCCGTTCCTCATAAGGCATCGTTTCCAGGCCTTTGACCATTTTGGTTGCCCTCCTCTGGACACGTTCCAGTTTGTCAGTGTCCTTCTTGAACTGTGGTGCCCAGAACTGGACACAGTACTCCAGGTGAGGTCTGACCAGAGCAGAATACAGTGGCACTATTACTTCCCTTGATCTAGATGCTATACTCCTATTGATGCAGCCCAGAATTGCATTGGCTTCTTTAGCTGCCGCGTCACACTGTTGGCTCATGTCAAGTTTGTGGTCAACCAAGACTCCTAGATCCTTTTCACATGTACTGCTCTCAAGCCAGGTGTCACCCATCTTGTATTTGTGCCTCTCATTTTTTTTGCCCAAGTGCAATACTTTACAATACTTTTCTAAATCAGCCTGACAA